GACTGCGACCGTCGATGCCTGATTCTGCGCCAGAGGAATACAAGAAACTTGCCGAGCGGTGTTGTGATGCTGATCCTAATAAGCGTCCTGATGCACGGACAGTTTGGTGGGATATTAAAGATATTATTAAAGATCTAGAAAAGGATAAATCTGGTGACAACGTGTGGAACACCGTTTATCATAATGATGTGAATCCGTTATCACGTCTCGAGAAAGAGAGCAAATATTCCAGCACACTCTTACCTACTGGAGCTTTGCCTAAACCGAGAAATAGTTATGATTTGGATTCAGCTGCAGGTATGAAGTCAATAATTGGTTATAAATGAAGTCAAATTTACAATATTACAATGTTTACACTTCCATTTCTTATAATTTAGCAACTCAAACTCTTTTTGAATAAACTCGTAATTTACGATTACATGAATTTTATTCAAAAGTTCGAATTATACAATGTGCTTCTACACATGTCAATATGGATGAGTTAACAAGACGCTGAAATATAAAGTCATGCATGTTTACAGTTAGCTGTCTTGTCCAAGCAGTGTCTTAGACATTATTATTAAAGGTAAATACACAGTGAAAGTCGATATAACAGACCAGTACCTTTGTCCGTTATATCGACGGTCTGTTACATCGAACAGTGAGTTTATACCGGACTCTTAACTAAACTTGCAAAAAATACGACGATCTTTCATATTAATATCTTTATTATTCACGGTTATAACATGTGGGATATAAAACCTAACGATAAATTTAATTCAAGACTCGAATGTAAAATCTCGTCGATATTTGTCTGCCTCTTTTTGTTTCGTTATATTAACTTTCACTGTGTATTGAGAATCAATTTTTTAAAGTTTATAAATAAATACGTAGCCATGTTGCGACAGTGAAACTTATCTTCAATTTCAGCACCGGCCGGATGATGCGTCGGCTAATAATAATAATGCTAAATAGTATTATTTACGTACGCAAAACTTCGATAGACGCGATAGTACACTTCATAGAATGCAGATAGGAACTTTGGGCATGCGATAAAGCAGAAAATTTGACACTTCTGTAAGAATTAAATTCTACTGTTTACCGATGGTATTACGATGAACTCATAGTTATTGTCACTCAATTTGAGCCTCCACCGAATAGGCAGCTTATCAGTTGCTGTGTGTGTGCAGTTTTTGATAAAATACTGCTTTGAAGATATTACACTACAATTGAAAATTTGCGTAATTGGTGTTGAAACAAAAATTTTAGAACAAATTGCGTTTTTATGACTTTGAAAACAGCGGTAATTATAGATGGTGAATTTTAAAGCTTATTGTCTAATTGTAGTCTATTTTTGCCTTTACTGTATCATAATTGTCGTTTAATCGACCGAAAAAATAGACTGTCCATGTAACTTTACTCTTGCAATTTAGCCTGCCGAGAGATTTAGCTTCAAACTATTGCATGCTTATTCAAACTATTCGATCTAAAAGTTATACTGACAGGCAAGTAGAAATGCCAATGTTTTTGTATACTTGTTTTGCAATCAATACAAAAATTCTATTTACAACAGTTACGTAAAATATGTGCGGATAAATTAAAACGATATATTCACGCAATATTTTCAGGTTACCAATCAAAGTTGGATAATTTTGACTGACTTTCATACGAACAGGTACTACTTTATACTGCAAAAAATACAGATTACAAAGAATAAAAAGCCAAAGTTAATCAGTATTGCAACGGGCAAAGTTGTAGAATGTGTGACATTAGAGTGGACGCATAATAATAATACGGAAGCAAAAATGTGTAAACGCGTCGCTTCTTATAAATAGGTATAATTTCCTTCTCCCAAAGTATATATGCGGGCTAGTTATTATATTCGAGTAAATTTTTATTAATGTATCAATTACAGCTCACGCTTTACATAGTCTTTTTTATTGCTGATTATCTGAGACTGTGAATTTGCAATCCTCCTGTGAAACCTGAGATAAAGCCGTCGGGTTGGGAAAGTTTATTATAACGAAAAATTTCGTTATACGAAGGTCACCATTCGAGTCACGCAAAACATTATTATATCAAGCAAAAATTAGTAGTATTCAGATAAATTATTCGACAAACTCTTGATTCTGCTGTCTAATGTAATTAGTAATTACATCTACTCCGTGAACTACTTCACCGCCTGAGTCCGTTCTTCAGGCTCATCGAGTTCGAGTAACCCGCTTTATTGCAGGCTTTTTACTAATTATACTTTTATTGTTCAATCTGTCTTTTAATTGTTGCGAACGAATTAAAAAGAATAAAATTTTATCGAAACTTTGATTAATTGGTTTAATTTACAATTTAATATGATGATAAAATGATTACCGATTTTATTATATCGAGGTCGTTTTACTGTTCTATATAAATCGCACAAAACATTATATCACGAGATTATAAGTATCTTCATTACATTGAGCCTGATTTTATTATAACGGACTTGGTTCCGGGGAAAGCATCATATTAGGCCACTTCGTCTTATCGAGGGATCATTATATCGAGAGTGACGTGTATGTTGGAAATATAATATTACGCATAGTTTCTTACATGATTAAAAATCAATGACGAATTCATGGCTCAACAAGAGAAAGAGATGGGCTCTTACCATTTTAGATAACTTTATCAGCCTAAACAGGGAATTTATGATCCACTTTCTTGAAGTTTGAAGTTGTAAACTTCAAAGGGGTGACAATCGAGAAGAGATGGTACCAGCGTAACTGTGTTAGACACATTCAAAACTTGAGATTAGAATCGGCTCGGAAGCACCAATAGTCAAAGTGTTACCGAGTATATGATGAACCCAAACCCGGTACTATACTTTATGCAAGAGTTATTCATTTTGTTAACCCCTGCACTATGTAATATACTTCCGGACGTACACTTTGAGATCAAAGATAAAACTACGCGAAAAAAATATGGGTCGAGTGAACCCTAGGTAAGGGATGTTGGGGATTTGGGATAATCCCTATGGAGCGCCATAGTCGAGTGGGAGATGGAAGATGAACATACCGAAGGTTATATGGTAACTGAAACCGAGTAGGAAGGAGTCCAATTCTAGAAACCATTAGGTGCACTACTAATGGGAAACTACTGCATTGCCAGTGGAAAGAAGGAAGGACCCAAGGAGTGCAGCTGGCAGACATTACCTATATTTGTGATGAGTGGTAACTCATATCATTTGGACCTCGGTGCACTGTGCAATTGAAACGCCACCAAACAAGCAGCAGAATTAGTTTTTACATTCGCCTCAACCAAGAATATTAAAATAGCACTAATTTGTGAAGCTGTGACGCGTAACTTTGGTGGGTATCACCAACATTCTGTGATCGGCAATCGTAGAACAGTGCAAAAGATAAAAGAGCAGGCAAATTTGACTTGGCGTCAGTGTGTTCTGCATATCAAAGACATTCGACTCCTTTATTATTTCGTCATTTGTACTTATCAATAAACGAGTATCCATTCTACTCTGAGCGTATACTTTTCATAGTTGTCCCTGAATAATCGTATTCTTGTCTCGCGAATACGACTAGTTAATTGTTTCTTTATCAACGTATCATTAAATCTCCCAACCGATAAACTACCGATCTAATCCAGCGGTAGAGAATTGTTTTCGTACTCGAGGATAATTAACGTTCTAGGATTAGAGTACACGACATTAAGTGCGAAAAGCCTATTGTAAAAGTCACTAACTGTTTAACTTTAGTTGCGGCGAGGTGAGCCACGCACTACAGAAATCAACGTCGTTCCCAGTTGATCTCTCGGATTTATTCGTATAAATCGGGCGAAATCATAAACGGCGGGATCAATTTCATTCTCCTTGAGGAACTTTTGCAACGAAGCAGGAAAACAGTAATATCACGTGATTATGAACTTTTAACATGTAATAAACGATTTATAAACTTGGAACCGAACAATCAGAGAGGGAAAATCTATTTGCATTCAGAGACGCATCATCATTAGAGAGGTTGAATGTACCTCTAAGGTTGGCACACCTTTAATCGATTATTCTGTCTATACAAAAAATCGTAAAATAAATAATGATCTAATCAGACGATATAAACTCTTACGAATTACTCCGAAGAAATATTAATATACATATACAAATGCTAATTCTGGAATGATATAAAAGTTTGATATGAGCCTTGGAAACACACTTTTGTTACTATTACGTAACGAAACATTTTAAAGAACAACCCATTTTCTCATTTTCATTCACATTGCTTCTTCAGAATCTTTTCTTAATCAAAGCGACGTTTGCCAGGTTGTAGTGATTTTGCATTCCAACAGCATTGTTTCTTGTATCACAAGTGTCTTTGAAAATACCGATAATTTTATTAAAAGCTCATGTAAAAAAAAAACCGTTATTAAAAATTGCCCATTTGGGTAACGGGACACAGATCCAAAAAACCACTTACTATGAGAATAGACGAATGACCATAATGTTGTACTCGCCTGCGCCCAGAACTAAGATAACAACAGACGGAGACGAATTCCGGCTCTGCTTTCTTCCAAGACAATCAATAGATTACCAATATGCGAACTCAATTCTTTAATAAATTCTTAAGAGATATCACAAAACTCCTCGACGATAGTGATGATTACAACGTCAAATTGGAAATTGGAGAGGGGCCTGACGCAAGATTCTTCTGGGCCCATTCGATAATATTGCGTACCAGGTGTCCGTTTTTCAACAGGGCTTTAAGCGAGACTTGGGCAAAAAAGACTGACACGGGGCTATTCACCTTGAAGAAACCAAACATTACGCCCTCAACGTTTAAGCTATTACTTAGGTATTCTATAATGTTATTACACCGTTTGTATATATATATAGTCTATGTGCTAGTCACGAATCAATTACCCTGCAGAATGGGGTTTGCGGTTCAAATATTTTATACAAATAGTCTGTTCGTTATGCTCATCAAACTTTGTCTTGAACATTAGTTACTTTTATACAGGCGATTTGCAAATCAACAATTCTGTAGAAGCCATAGATCTCCTTATTGCAGCCGACGAACTTGATTTAGAAGAACTGTTCGAATACATTCAAAGTTTCCTTATCGAGAACGAAGCAGATTGGATTGATAATCACCTTGTCAAAGTATACCAAATTGCATCCCAGATCTACGCCTGTAAAGAACTCGAAGAATCCTGTCACAGACTTCTCGAGAATTCTCCCGATCTCATGCTTATATCAAACGACTTTCGATCTATTGAAAAAGAGAAACTGATCGAGTTACTGCAAACAAACGCCTTTGCAATGAAAGAAGTTGAACTGTTCGAGAAAGTGATGCAATGGGGAATATCACAGAATCCCGAACTGGACGAGGACATGTCGGTGTGGGACGATAGTGACTGGAACGCGTTGAGAGAAACTGTGAAATTGTGCTTGCTCCATATCAGATGGGCACGCATATCAGGAGCAGAATATTCCGAAAAAGTCAAGCAATATAAAAAGGCTTTTCCTGCTAATATACGCATGGCGTTGCAGACTCATTTCGCTATAACAAAAAGAGTTAGCCCGTTGGCTGCGGTGTCATCGTCATTTCTGGGAGGTGGTGAGAGGAAGCGCTCCAAATACCAACAATACCAAGAACGTAATCTCGAGTCGAGTATAATAAAAGCAGAGCATGCGGTGTTGATATCTTGCTGGATTGACCAGTTTCCTGGCGATGATTCGTTCTATCAACATACTATACGTAAGTTCGATCTTTTGTATCGTGCGTCGGACGATGGATTTGAACGATCGACTTTTGATGAAAAGTGTCTAAAGGAAGAAACATTAATTTTGTGGAAGATTCAGGAGAATGGGCATATCATCGGAGGTTATTGCGAAAAGGGATTCTCTAATGTAAGGCTAACATATCCAGATACAGATTCAACCTGTTTTTTGTTCTCACTTAATGACGGAAAAAATCTTCGGAAGGCGTCTTATATACCGCTGAAGACCTTTGATGACTTAACTTCTGGGTTCCTGTCGAGCCTTGCAAATAAGTACAATATGCATTTGGGAGATTCTACCTTCTCGATGTGGGAGACAGCTGGGACGTTAAAATTTTCATTTTGCAATAAGTTAACTATTCAAGACTGTGAAGTTTTTTCTCTGAAAAAAGTGTAGAGAATATTTAATAACCCTGCTTATAAATTTTCGGGTTGGCGGGGGAAAAGTGGGGTGGGGGGGAATGGGTGGCTTAATTTCTTTTCATTAACACTAACAGCTTTTGGTGTTTGTATTTATTATCGCTTGTAGATATACACTGTCTGTTATGTAATCAATTATATTGTTAAGTAATAGAGAATTTGTTAATATAACGGATTTCCAAGATAACTTGAAAATTTACTTATTATTCGCTCTAGCTTCTCCGGCAGTCTGAATTGAACTACATGTGATAGTCACTTAAACTTTGACGCTTTGCATAGAGTTTGTGTATATAAGGGTTCGTTTCGAGTGAGCTGAACTGCATTTCGAATCCGATTCAATTCTCAAATACTAAAGCCAGAATAAAAATTTCTTGTAGAAACTTTCCAAGTATTTATTTATTAAACTATCAACCAGTTATTTCGTGATAATATTCGCGGCGTTTTTAAATAATCAAATCGCAGAAACTTTAAAAATAATCTCAGCATATCCACAATTCTTTGCTTTCGTATGTCCCTATTATTTCTCACTTTTATCTCTATGCTCCTGATGCTCGCTTTGCCAAAGTCTCTATGTTCAGCACTGCCGGGTAATAAAATAATATCGAATCTAGGTTACACTCGCTTTGCTAGGTTATGTATGTAAAAATGTTCTTTCGATTCGATAATAATTATCAATCATGTCAACTCTTGCGGGAATATTATATTTAGCCTCGTTGACCATTGCTGCTATGATGGTTTATAATATACAAAGTAAAGAAAAAAAACATCGGTTCGAAAATCTGTGCAGGTTATTTCTTCATACAGACATTAGAATCACACTTCTTTTCAGGCATATTTCTCCGGTTTATATATAGAAAAGGTTAAAATGCGTTCAATTAATTAATAATGTAGGTTAAAGTTTTAAATAAACAATTTCAAGCAACTTTTGTACTAAAAATTATTAATTCAATAGCATACTTGTTAGTCTGAGGTGGCGGCTATTGAAATTCAAATCCATGATTTGAATTTAATGAGTGGCACAGAACAAGGGAAACTTTATATGTATTAGTGTCATACATCTATGAACGAGAAGAAAAAACAATTCGAGTTGCGTATATTATAGTTAAGAAAATAGCATAATAAAAAGCTTAGTATTAGACAGATTTTATTATGGCTTGTAATGAAATCGTAGACGTGCCTTCTGGTTGAGATGATAAGTCGTATATAAGCTCGAGACTCTGTCCGTTTACGTTTAGTTGTTTAATGAACATTATTTTATTACTACCGCGCGTTGTACGCAGACTTTTAAATAAAGTATTATCAGCAATCACTGGATTTGTTGATGTACCCGCATTTGTGCGATGTAACACAGGTATATTGAAGAACGAACATTTGTTTCAACTTGAATTCTTAAATTCAATCTATTACCATGTCGTTGGCATCTGAGACTGTTAATAATCCAGCTATTGGCGACTTGATTCAATCCAGTTATGTGGATGGATATAAGAAACTTGAATGGATACCATACGAAGAAATCACCAACGTAAAGCCGACTCAAATTGACAACGTCTACTGCGCTATTCGCAAACGTAATGCGATAACGCTGGTATTACTTGGAAGTAGCGAAGAATGCACACCAACACTTGTGAGTGAGTTTGCTAGAATTTACTCACTTCCAACACACAAGTACGATAAGAATGATAATAACTTTAGACGATACTCCGTATGGCTTATGAATCGCAACAACCTCATAGATGGGTTTACCAAGTATAATAAAAACTATTACATGGTTGCTGAGAAACGCTTTTACCATTGTTATTCTCTTTATGGCTTCTGCTCCACATGTGGAATACTCCGATGTAGTCCCGTGT